AAAAAAAAGTAGGTGGGAGGAGGCAGCAGACGACTCTTTCGAGGAGAAATACTTCAAGCAGAGTATTTCAGTGATTGGGACTGAGTAAAATTCACAAAAAGTTGCAAGGAAAGGCAAAAGTTCAGATGAAGCAAGAAGCAGAGACTTTTTTTTTTTCTTTGAATGCTTTCCTCTCCTTGTAATGCACTGTTGGGGGAGGACACAGTATGTGTGTTTCCAAGAAGTCTCTTCAATCATCACAGGTCACAGTCTCCCGGGGAGACATTTTCTTTGCAGGCCTTAAATGCTGTCGAGCCTATTTTGTGTCACAGTTGGCAATGTAAGGGGACTGCATGCCAAGTATCCAGTCCAGGTATGCTTGAACCATGGGGTTTGTGTCACCTGAGTGGGATATAGTCAAGGAGGGACAACAGACAGGTCTAAGCCAGAAAATGCCCTGAAGCTGTGAGATGTGGAGGAAAGTAATTGAAGCCTGACAAAAACAGTATCATTTTCACTTTGGCAGTCTACAGTTTTAGGTATGCTAGTTGAAACAAAAAATGTGCCTTTGGTTATTATCAACCCAGTCTCACCCAGGTTCCTTCTTGATAACTGTTCAGTACTACTACCAGGGTGCATTGAGTGGATACAGTTTTGCCGCTCACCAACATTAGCAAACGCAACCTCAAGACACCTGAGAGAAAATGAATTAACATGGCTTTTGTGGAATCCATGGGTTTGTGGTAATTACGGCAGCGCATTTAACTGATTCCTCTGAAAAGAGTTAGGAACCTTTAATTCTGTAGAAAACAGCAATCTTGTTCTATTATTGTTTTCAGTCAAATTAGAGGTTTGGGGCTTTTAATAGATGACTAAATTAGACCTTATCAAAATCCTTTAAAAGAAACCCTGATCCTTAGACTGCAATTACTCCAGGAAATGCAGGCAAAAATTGGCATTTGTTTAGAAACATCAGAAGTCAGTGCTGGCTGGCATTTTGTTCCTGGGTGATGCAAATGTTGAGAGTAAACCGGCTTAAGTTGCTTGTCTGTTTTTGTGTACATCTTCCTGCTTTGTCACATAACCAGGGCTCTTGAAAACCCCCAGCTGGAAGATACCGAATGACACCAATGGGGGTTGCCTGTCCCTTTGTTGTTGTTGTTCTTTTTAAATAGATTATTTTTGGGGGGTACAAAAACAAGGGGTTTCCACATGTGTGGCCACTTCCTTAAGGCCTGAGTACAGACAGACAAAAAGCTCAAGGCTGAATCTATTCAATCTCTGCAGGTTAGTCTAAGCTGAGAAGATTGAACCGATAAGCAAGTGAACAGACATTCACTTTTGATTCAGGAAATGCAGCCACAGGGCTGCAGGGGCCCAGGCAAGAACTGGCAGTTTCTAGAGCATGCCTCTCTGCCCGGCTGGAGCGGACAGCTTGGGCTAAAGCTAGCCTGCCCATCCTGTGAGAGGGGTTCGTGGGTGGAAGTGCAAAGTATCCTGAGATGTTGGGGGAGACTGAGTTTACTTGAATCTGAAGGGGATGTGGGACAGAAGTTCAATAAACCAATTTAACCTAAATCAGTTAAGTCTGATACTACGTCCATCCAGATTTATCTTGCACCAGTTTCAGCCATTTTGAAAGTGGTTTATGTGCACTGAACTCTGCTGTGTTACAGATTTGAACCAGTTTCCTATCATGTGTACTGGTTTATGTGAAACTTCTGTCCCTAGCCTAACAGAACTCAGCTTGGGGGGCTTTATTCTCATTTACAGTAAGTCCTTCATAAATCAGAGGAAAATGACTACATATGTGTCTACACACACACACATCCACTTGCACATAATATCGGTTTCTATATATGGTGGGCCTTATTTTCTACTGGTATGCATGCAGAGTATGCATTTAAACCAAGCAACACGGGATGTAAAATGCTGCCTGTCTAAGGAAAGATGATCCATTGGTGAAGACATAGATTTGAAACCCTGCTCTACCCCAGGGTTGTGACCTTGGGCAAGTTGCTCAGGCTCACCCTCCGCAACAGGACTCGGGTAGAATTTAGTCTCTTAAATCCACGAATGTGAACTTCAAAGTTCAAAGGCATCAATGTGTTCACTTAAAAAAAAGTTCCCTTTAACTAAAAGTTTTATGTCTAGGCATTCCAAGAAATCTGTGCTGTCTAGTCTGTGCTGAGCAGTTTGGTGCTTATTTCATACCAAAGGCCCTTAGGAGTCCCTAACTAGGTGTTCTTCTACCTACAGGCTCTGAGACAACTAACTGTTTAGAGAATTAACAATTCATGGGACCAGAAAGAGGGAGCAGGAGGGAGCACAACTCTCTACCCCATGGCCGAGGCCCTCATCTGGGCAGGAAAACAGCTGAATTCCTGTGTCTCTCTGAAGGATGTTAAATGCATTTTTTTCTGTGACCATTTAATGTTAGATAAATTTAAAGTCCTTGGAACAGGGACCAGACTCTGGTCTCCCCTTGCCTGTGAAACTGTGCTAACCTCCAGAATAGAAAGGCGTCCCTTGCACTAGGGCACATGACTGTTAGATATGGGGCCACAAGACACTGGGCCAGGAGAAGCAGTTCAGTTTTCAAAAGTAGGGTCTTAATTGGGTTTCTAAACCCCATATTGGGATGTTGTAATCGGCATTAATGCTTGTTCATTTGGATGAGCTAGTTAGGTGACCAGATTGAAAAGCTGGCCCAGTAGTATGGATGGGATATAGAGTGTGCCAGTTCATAACCGTTACCTGATCTTGAGAGGTCCTAAGCACTCACAACCCCCAATGAAAGTAATTTGGAGTAGTACTGTCTGGATCTATCCCAAATGTCCCCATTCAGCTGTCCTTCTTCCAGCAGTACAGAAACCAGGCAGCAGATACCTAAATGTCATTCCCCCAAGTTAGCTGGAACCGGAATCTGTTCCACCTGTCTCTTTCTGACTCTCTCACTTTTTCTTTAGTGAGATTGCAAGGAGTACAGTTTTGTTCCTCAAACTATGATCTGGCCACTGGTGACTCTTCCTGAGGGATGTAGCTGGAATCGCATTTAAGAGTAAATAATGCATCATACTATGGTAATGTTAGAGTGATATTGTAGTCATGATGGTCCAGGAATGATGCGAGAGGCAAAGATTTCTTCAGGTGGTATCTTTTATTGAACCAACTGCCTAGTTGGGATAGAGTTAGACATGCTTTCAAATACTAGACATTTGAAAGCTTGCCTATCTGGGTCCTAGCTATACAGCTGGACCAATAAAAGATAGCGCCTGAAGAAATCCTTGCTTCTTGCATATTGCGTCATGCTAAAGATGCCCCAAATTGTCAAATTAGCACAGAAGAATGTGCACCTAAATTGCCCAGTCTCCGTTCTTTTACGGTGCTAAGGCTAGTATTAAATTATAGTAGCTGTCATTGATCTAGTGAAAGAACAAAATAGATAGCATCTATATTGTCCAAGTTTATTGAAAGAGTCTCATGCCATCTTATTTTGTCAAGATGCTGTTCTCAAAGGATTTCATAGAAAATCTTCTAGGGAGGCAGAGCCAATAAAGCTTTCTACTGATACTGAGATCTCTGTGTGGTCAGCGCTGTTTACAGAAAGCCTCAGACACTTTCTTTTTGTTTTCATAATTGAAAACTTGCCAGAATGCTGAATGGATTTTGTATGTGAGATATTTAGCAAATATAATTAAACTGTAACCTTGTGACAGCTCATGTGTTGGGATATTTGACCCCACTGGAGTTTTTTCCTTTTTTTTTTCTTTTTTTTAACATCTTTGAAAGCCAGCATCACAAGAAACTCTCAATTCAGCAAATTTGGCCAACATTAAAGAAAGCTAGAGTAAAAAAGAGACACTTCCACTATTATAAAGTGATATATTCAGATATCTGTATTTTTTTAAAAAAAGAGAAATCCAGTGAAACTAAAAGCAGCTTAATGAAATTAAAAAGAGAAACAACATTTTTTCTTATTTAAACATCTCCCCTTGCAGCAGTGGTAACCCCAAACCAAAGCTGCTCTGCAAATGCATGAATACAGAACCCCTTTCTCTGGGCTTTTAAACTAGCCCTGTCACGGTACAGTCTGAAATGTCAACCCATTAATTTTGCACATGAATTTTCAAATGCAAAGCAATTACACATGCATGAAGTTGAGCGTTGGCATAAGTGTCTAACTGGGACTCAAAGACTTGTTTGAACCCAAGGTGGAACTGAGGAGGCTGGGCTTTTGGTTGTAGCTGTGTTGGTCTAAGGACATAGGCAGGCAAGGTTTTTTGAGTAGAGGAAAAAAGGTCTTGGCAAACTTTCAAGTGCAACCGCCCTTCTTCAGGCATAAGACGTCTCCACGTTCTCATTGACATCCTGACACATTTTTAGCTTCTCTCGTTCCTTGGGGGTCTCAGACCAGCAGAGACTCCTCATGCCTGAAGAAGGGTGATTGCACCTGAAACCTTGCTAAGAACTTTTTTCCAACTGCTTAGTTGGTCTAATAAATCTATTAAAAAACCTTGCCTAACTGAGGAGGCTACTTTTACTGTCAATATGAAATGGAGAAACTTAAAAAAAAACAAATCCCCCAAAACCCAGTAGTATAAATGACAAAAAATTGTAGCTTCACTTTGAACTTAAATTTAGCAATCTAGTGTGTTGTGGAAAGGAAATGTAAATGTAGTTCTAATTATCTGTGCATTGATAACGTTTTTATCTTGACTTGATAACATGTTTATCTTCAGTCTGCCTTTTTAATCTGTAGGCAGAAGGCCGGGCAGAGTGGCACTTTCTAAACTAACTTGTTCAGAGAGACGTGAGCTTTCTTAGGCTATAGTCTCCTTCTTCAGCTGCTACAGGGAGACTTAATTCTATTATATCCTTTCCTCCTGCTAATGTTGGCCGTCTATAATGAGCAATGGCATCTTTAGAGGGCCAATAATGAGAAAACAATGAAGATCCATGTAACAGCTGGAAATGACATTCTGTATCTAATTGTTGACATGCACTCTTGTTCCTCCTAGGGCAAAGGTGAAGAAAGGTGTGAATATTTTCAGTGTCAGAGCCAGCAGCCCATACTTATGGGACATTAGAGAGAACATGGATTATTCTGGGAAATATGCACCAGCTGTTATTGTTTGCCAGAGGAAATCTGCTACCTCCGAAAATAGGTAGGTCATTGCCAGTATTTTTAATGACTGACAAGCAGGGGTGGCGGTTTGTTTTTATTCTTAAAGGTGATGCGTCTTCTTGGCTATGGTTTTGAATAACTTTCATTGTTGTTTCCAAATATACACCGTAAATGCATCAATAAAAAAGCCGGTGCTAGCTCTAGTTTATCATTCTGTACTTACTGTATGCATTTTAAACCAAAGAGTACTTAAAGAAAATGAAAACGAACAGGAAATATTCATTTCACAGGAATATTTCAAAGGCCTTGTCTCATCGCTTTGAATTTAATTCAGCCTTATTGTTCAGCCTTTTCTAATTATTTGCTGCCAGCTGGTCAGCGATTATATTGGTGGCCTGTTCATTACAGTCCTTTTTGTGTGCTGGACTTTCCAGAGGGAGCAAAAGCATATTCCCGGCATGTTTTTTAAGTGATTTTTTTTCTATGAATTGTTAATCAACAGTAGGAGACTTGATCTTCAGTCATTAAATTCCCACTATGTGATCATTGATGTACTACTACATTGACCCTTAAAACAGTCTTTGTTTGGCAGTTGGTTGTTTCAGTTTCTTAGCATGGGTGCGTGTTATAAAGAGTAAATGTTTGTTACCTCTAGTTTTCACTTCATTTATTGTTCCTGGAAAAGCATGGGGGCAGCTGGCAATGAGCTGGAGTTTTGTCGTATTTTTAGGTATTGCTGTTAAACTCGCGTTATAAAGAGGGAAGCCAAATTCTGGAATGATTTATCTGCTGTGAAAATGCATTGATCTAGCCCGGGTTTGCAGCGAATGCAGGATTTGGGGATTTTTTATTAAAAAGAAAAAAAAACCCTCTTACTATTAAATGCAGTGAGCTCAGTGGGTGGGAATGTGAAAAGAAGGGGGGACTTCCGTTTCATTTTCAGATGCAAGTTTGTCCGTCCTTAAAAGAATTCAGGGTCAGATCCCTCTTGCACTATATCCTGATTTTCCTCCCCTAAACTGCATACAGTATTATAGCTGGCCGGACTTTATTGGTCAGAGAAGTGATGTCTATATGCCCAAGGTCACAGCTTTCTCCTCAATAAAAGAATCTGTCGGTCAGCTTCTTAAAGGGCCTGATAACACTCATCAAAATCAGTGAGATCTTTCCACTAAATTCATTTGGGTTTGGATCAGGCCCAGAGTGGTTATTATGACAGTAAATTATCTACCACCATCTGCCCTTTTATTTTGTGACTGGGCAGCACGGAAGAGCATTTCCCTAATTCCTCTTCAATAATGTAAAAATGTAGTGTGCTATTGAGGATGAATCGAGTTTGGCAACTTTTTCCATTTTTCCATATTTTCTTGGACGTGAGCACTGGGCGACGGCCTTTCAAACATGACGTTTTCATTATCCTACTTCAGTTTTAACTCAGTGTTGCACATCTTCTTTCATATGCCGTCTATGAGAAGGAGGAGTAGTATTATTAGTAGTATTGCATATATGATAGTGTTGCTCTCTAGACCTGCGGTGAGCTTTGCTTCAGGATTGGGGCCTTGGGAACCTAACATAAAGATTAATTAAGGGGAGCTTGTCAGGTCTTTAGGCTGACTGGTACCCAGCCCCGATGCCCAAAAGTTTTGGACGATTGTTCCCAAATGAAATAATTAAGACTTCATTTTTACTTCACGTTTTACTGAAATGCTCAAAAATAAAGTCAAGGAGACATATCGCAATGCTAAGCTGCTATTAATAACATCGGATAAAAATGAAGCATGACAGCAATCCAATCAATGTCAAACCCAGAACATTAGACCCAGTGTTGGACTGGAAATTAAAACATCAAATTAAGTAATCCAATTAACAGTAAAAATAAGCAATCCAATACATTCTGAAGAGGATTCATAAAAGGTGGCTGTCTGTGCATAAACCCCAAATGGAGAATTTTACCAAGTCAATCAAATGCATGATATGAATGGTTAGTCATCATAATACTCTAACCAAACTATTATCGTTGCAGCAGTTGGGCTGCAATCTCAGAGGCAATTAATTCTTCCTTGCGAGACAGTAGTTCTTATGTACCGTCTACTCTTTTCCTCCTCCCCTAACATAAATGCTACAACAGGCTTCAACAGAACCGTTCCAGGAGTTTGACAGCCCTTATTTATCAGAATTTACATATGATGATCTCAAAGCTCTTGGGAACTTTAAATGTAGAACATGTCATAATTAATATTGTTGTGAGACAACATTTAGGGCTATTATGCATGGGAAATGTTTCTGTTAGGAGTGTTTCCTGAGTGACTTGTATAGATGTATGTCTTCGCACACGCACACACCCTCGCAAGATCTGAGCTACAGTCATGCAGCTTAAAGTAAGTTGCACAATCACAGATCAGGCCCCACATGTACAGACCGGATTTCCTGGTGCCAGAAGCCGCACTAGGAACACAGTGTAAGTCCAGGAAGGAGAAAGGGAAGTTAGCAGATCTGGGGCAGGTTGACTGGACTGTGGGGGCTGGTGGGTCTGTGGTGGGGGTTGTCCATCCAAGGGTAGGGGTGTTGGGGGTACTAAAAATAACTCAGTCAGGATGCAGGATTAGGAAAAATGCAGCCCCGAGGCTGGGGCAAATGGCTGGGCTTTCCCAGCCCTAGTTCCAAACTTGTGCAGATGCTCAGTAAATCGGGGGAATCAGTTCCAGACCTAACTTAGTTCACCTCCTCAGGTGAACTAAGTTAGATCTGGCCAGCCATTTTTCCCCTGCTATAACTTCTAACGTATGTACAGATGGACATTTAGATCGCCCTAACCCTAGGTAGGTCAATCTAAGTATAATGTCTGCATTAGGGGTGTGTGAAATGAGTCCTGTTTGATTTGGATTCAGATTTGGCCCAAATCGGGGACAGTGATTTCGTTCGTTGATTCAGATCACTGTCCCCAATTCGATTCAGCTGAATCCGAATCTGAAGATTCAATGATGATTTGGAGAATCAGCGATTCGGACATAGATACAGCTTTAAATGTCTTTTCTGCATACCTCGAGGTACCAGCACGACTCGTGATCACTGCCATGCTGGGGTGGATGGAGCATCCCACAGGAGTGCAGGGGGGCCCCCCACATGCTTGGCAGCTAACCCAGAAGTGGACTGAAAGTACTTCTGGTCCATTTCTGGGTCTGCCAGGGAGCGCTGAACCTCCGTGACTCAGTGATCAGCTGTGAGGGGACCCCAGGTGCCCCCCCCACACCCAGGAGGCACCAGTCGCTGAGCTGGAGGGTGGGGTATGGGTGGCCCCCCAGTGCGCTCCCTGGTGGACTCAGAAGTTTGCCAGAAGTGCTTCTGGCCTGCTTTTGGTCTGCTGCTGAGCGCCCTGTGGACCCCCACCCCCCCTGCGCTCCTGTGGGATGCTCCATGTACCCCAGCATTGCAGTGTTCACAAGCCGTGTCTGGTACCTCGAAGTATGTAGAAGAAACAGTTAAAGCTGTGTCTATGGCGAAATCACTTAATCTGTCCGAATCCATTTGGAGGGTTCCGATTCGATTCGGAGAGATTAAAGGGTCCTCTGATTCGATTCAGATTTGAAGATTTGGCCACTGAATTGAGCCGAATCTCCACCGAATCGAATCAGCAACCAAAGCTTCGCATGGCTTCTAGTCTGCATGTACCCACGTGCACACACAAGCAACACAGCCACATTGTCTTATGGTTTGATGTATAACTTCTTTTGCCCAGGTGATCAGTTTTTAAGACTTCAGAAGAACAGACTTTCCTCTAAAACATAGTTCAGTAACCTACAGTTCATGGACCAGAACCAGTCCATAAAGACTGGATCTTGCCTACAAAGCCTATGAGGCAGTTGGAGATTCATGGGGAGGACCCCTTCCCCTTGTTAGCCTCAAGCGTCCCCTTCACACAGACCCTCCTCTGGAGACACTGCCGAGGTGGGGAGGTATCTGCATAGTCAGCAGCCAAGAGGTTAACACATGCCCCATACTGCAACCACTGCCTTGTCACCATTTAATTTACCATTGCTGATTGCTGCTGGCAATGGCATTTGGTGGCACATGGAGACTGGAGTGAGCAGTCACTAGTTTTGGAACTTTTCTAACTCTGCTTTCAAGCCTCTCTCTCAAAAGTCTTCAGACTAACCTAGTCCCACAAAGTTTGAATGAAGCCATCCTCAATGAGCCACAGTTTCTAAAAGTCCTACTTCATTCAGCAATTAAAAAAAAGGCATTTGGAGCATTGCATACCTGTAAGTCTGCAACACCCTTCTATGACACCCCCCCCCCCACACCTCTCAAAAGTAAAAAACAATCTGGATACACTTTGGAGGAAGATGATGATGCAGACTTATCTGAATAAAAGGTCTTAAACTATGATTATGGCACCAGTTTACAGAAGCTTTAATATAAAAATGTTACAAACATAGATGACTGGATAAAAAGAGCGCTCAACAGAACCAGTCACTCAGCATTAGGACGTCAGCAAAATTAAAAATTAATTCAAACTTGTGATCACCTCCTCATCCCCAATGTCTCTTTTCTGTCTTTTCTGTTGCTGTCCTAGAATGAGGTTGTATGTCAAAGAGTTTATTTTTTGGAATCGTATTTCCATAAAGAAAGGCTTATCAGGATGAAATCATCTTGAGCCTTAACATTTACGTTTTTATATAACGTCTAAATTTGTATATACATTATGTTTAAATATTTTTTATGCACACACGTGTGTGTATGTGTGTATATATCTATATCTATCTACCTAAAGATACCCGTATGCATATGTTTGGGTAATATATATACACTAATGCCAAAATCTACAAATAAGGAAAACAATATGTTAACAACCAGGGGACACTATTTCCACTAACCTTAGCAGACAGCAAATTTTTCCTTACCCTGATCTAGACAAGAGAATATAAATTCACCTAGGCAATTTCCTACCCCAATATCCTCCAGCTGCGGTCCATGTATCCTCTAAATATGTTCCATGGTACTGAGTTGTATTTTAGTTTTTCTCCATCTCACTTTCCATAG